GACGAGACTGTAACAATCTCAGAACTGCTTCTGTAGCTACTCGAACTCTCCAGTCGGAGATAGAAACGTGCTAAAGCGATGACAAGCCCGGTGGCGTGCACAGAGGCATCGCTATCCGGGCGCATTTCCTCCAACTTTTGAAGGCCCCTGGAACAAAACGGGGCCCGCTGCAGGGGTGAGGGCGGGGGCGGCGAGGGCTCTCCAGATCTGTTCGGGGTCCTCACTCTTCCCTCAAGCCCCTGGGGCGCCCCCTCCCCCCACTTCCGCCCACTCTCCACAATCTCCCACCCTGCAAAGTGCAGGCTTGAAATTCAGGACAAGTGTGACACCTACCTGTGAAAGGGGGGAACCGTGCCCTCGCCGGCCCCGCGGCCCCCGCCCCGAGACTGCGCGAGGACTCTACCGGGTCATCCTAACTCTCCGCGCCATCAAAAAGAGGACATTTACTAATTTGATCACACCCCAGGAAGAGATCAATGCCCAGTTTGGAAGGGGTAACGCGTACAAGTGATTTGGGACGGCCTTCTCCCTGGCACCCCCTAACGCTTCCGCCCGCAGTAGCCCGCAGCACCTTTGAAATAGTAATAAAGGCTAAATCCGGCATAAAATCGAACTCATTAGCAAAGTTCACCAGCTGATTGCTTTGCATAAAACACGACACTGATTGGAAGTAATCAGGTTAAGTGACGGAGCTCTGGCTGGTGCGTGTCTCTAGCTGACTTTGCCATCTTCTCTCCCTCTGGGCATACACTAGGGTCTCTCTCCTTCCTCCAGGGTCCAATCTCCCCCAGGCAGCCCCGCATCTGTGATCCACACCTGCCTTGGGCAGGGCCACACTCCCCAGGGCTTGCAGCCTGCGATGAAACCCTGGCACCCCGAGGTTCTACGGAAACTTGCCCTCCCCACTTGGGGAAAAAAAGTTGCAGTTTGCACCTTGTGTCCAAGGCGATGGACAGTGTATTGAGGCTTCTAAAAAGTCATTGAGGCTCTGATTATGTTAAAATCTCTTTTAATTAAATACTTTGCATTTTACAAAGGCGGCTGCAGTTTCTTTTTACTTTTGAAATCTAAGAGTATAACCTGATTCCTTTCTGTAATAATACTTTAGCTCATACCCAGAAAAAAAAATCAATAGGTGTAAAAAAATTAAATTAAACTTGTATTTTTAAACTATGAAACAGTTTTTTTGGGGGTGGGTGGGACACAAATGTATATACTTATATTACAAAAAAACCATTAGATGCCTGTATAGGTGTCTTAATTTCATAATTTACTTCAAAGATATTGAATTATCAATTTAAATACAAAATGCTACATTAAATATACAGAATAAGATTTAATACAAATCCTTATTTTAACTTTCCGGTGGGTTAAGACATTTGTGTGTGTGTGTGGGTGTGTGCACGTGTGTGTGGAGATGTTTACATTTTTATGTCATCCATCTCCATCAACTATAAACTTTTTAATAGGAGGGGTAGTTTTTTCTCTCTTGTTGATGGAAAAATAACTGCCAAGGCCATGTGTCTGTTTTTTGTTTTTTTTTAAATAAATTAGGAAAGTCTGGGACAACGCAGCCCGTGTTAAATGTCGGACATACCTTTCTTCAATTCATAGGGAGAGTCTTTGCACAGGTCTAGCTGGGACTGGCTCCGCAATATTTTCGGATCTTTAGCCAAAGCGTCCACTCGATTCAACACCGTCTGGTTTAATCCATTGAAATGCGAGCCCGGACCGGTCGTGGGGCCTGGCCCGGGCCCAGGGTGACCATGAAGGTGTCCGAAGGAGCCATAGTTCGTGTAGCCCGGATAGAAGGGCGCCGTGTAGTAAAGAGGCCGGGACAGGACCGTCCCGCCCGGGAAGGGACACTGCGCCGAGGGCGAGCGAGACGGTGCAGGGGCCGGCGAGGCGCGGCTGCCTCCGAGAGCCTGCGCGGCGATGGGCCCGGCGCAAGGTGGGCATGGAGAGCTCTCACTCCCGCCGCCCCCGTCCTTGACCTTGTCCGAGGAGGTGGCGATCTCGGCCAGAGACCACAGTTTGGGCTTGGCGAG